TGGTGCGCAGAACTAGGTCACTGCTGAACTTCAAGCCCTCCTCACAGACGATTGCCGTCCGCTCAGCAAGTGGCCAGATATTCTCTGCTTATTGTGCGGCTCGATTGTCAAGGGATCGCAATTTGCACCGTTCCCTGGTGCGCAGAATTAGGTCACTGTTGAACTTCAAGCCCTCCTCACAGATTGATTGTTTTGAGCAGTTGTATCAGGTTAATCCACCAATAATTAACTTGGATGCAGGTAATGTTGAGATTCCTTTGCCAGACCCACCCATCAGTGAGGATCTACCCTTTCTGACTGAAGTCAGGGGGGCAATCTCCAAGCTGAAGAGTGGTAAAGCAGCAGGTATTAGCGGCATCCCAGCTGAGCTGTTAAAGGCTGGTGGAGAACCTATGGCAAGGGGCTTGCGTGCTGTCCTGTCTACCATCTGGCAGACTGGTATCATTCCCCTTGACCTGCTGAGGGGTGTGGTCATCCCTCTCTGGAAGGGGAAAAGAGATCTGTGGGACTGCAGCAATCACCAAGGCATTACACTACTCAGTATACTAGGATAGGTTTTTGCGCACATCTTACTGAAATGTATCAGAGACCATCTGTTGAGGCACCAGAGGCTGGAGCAATCTGTTAAGTCCACAATAGACTGTATCCTGGCATTTTGAGTCATTTTAGAGCGCCGTCGTAAGTTCGGACGTGGGCTGCTTGCAGCTTACATCGACTACAAGAAGCCATTTGATACCGTGCATTGCGAATCACAATGGGAGATCCTGAGACTAAGAAGAATTTTAACATGGATTATTGGATTAATAGCAAACTTGTATACAGTGAAGTGTGATGGGGTCTGTCAAGCTTCTTAAAAGAACCTTGTTAGTGCAGGTGTGAGGCAATGCTCTGTTCTTGCACCAACACTTTTCAACACTTGCATGGATTGGATTCTGGGTAGAGCTACTGTCCAAAGTCACTGTGGAGCAACTCTGGGCAATATCAAGGTTGCAGACCTTGACTTTGTTGATGTTCCTATTCTATCTGAACCTCTGGAAACTCTAGTGTCGGCTCTTGATGCATTTAGCAATGAAGTCCCTGGTACTAGAGGTCTCCTGGACCAAGACCAAGGATTTTGGAGGCCTACTAGGAGACCCTGTTCAGTCGGTACGTGTATGCGGGGAAAACTTTGAGATCCCAGAGAGCTTTATATACCTTGGTAGTGCAGTTCATGACTCTGGGCTGTCAGACTAGGAAGTCAGTAGACAGAAAGGCCTGGCAGTAGGGGTCATGAAATCTCTTGACAAGAGTATTTGGAGATGATGGTATCTGTGCAGAAGGACCAAGCTACACGATACTGCCAATTTTACTATATGGTAGTGAAACCTGGACGCTATCTTGTGCTTTGGAATCTCGTCTTGATGCCTTTTGTAACAGATCCTTGTGCTGGATCATGGGGTACAGTTGGCGGGACCATGTGTCCAAACAACGGTTGCACCTTAAGACTGGTACAGGACCTGTTACTTGCACAATTCGCGATCGCCAACTCAGGCTATATGGCCACTTGGCTAGATTCCTGCAGGATCCTGCCTACCAGGTTGTCTCTGTTCGAGACAACCCTGGGTGTAGGACGACTGTAGGACGACCGAGGAAGTCGTGGCTTGGGCAGATCTATCAAACCTGTCGTGAGAAGCTAGATATGGGCCGGGCCCCTGCCTGGCAGCTCGCCATGTGGGACCCTCGTAGGTGGAAGCGAAGAGTGGATGCAGCTATGCGCCCCCACTAGCTCCCCAATGGTGATGATGAAGAAGGAAACAACACCAGCAATCCACAAGGTTTTACTTGAATCACTATACATTACATAGAGGAAGAAAAGTATGTAAAATAAGAATTGTGCATCATGTACTATTCACTTGTCAAGAGAAAAGAGGGGCAAAAGAGATACATCATCAATCTTTACACATACATAAGTGACAGTGAGCTCACAAACAATGAATCACAAACGTGAAGTTTAATGATTATATTAACAATAATGCGATGATTAGCAACGATATCAATATAAAATTATTTCAACTACTACACTCATTTGATGATATGCAACAAAGTGCAAGCTTCTCGGAACTCAAAGCTCCTAGTGAGAAGGGCATGATAATTAAGCGAAAAATGATTCTAGCCTAAAACCCTAGTCCTACATTTATGAATGGATGTAAATATTGTATGTCGGAGTATAGGTCAGTTAGGTTATTTACTTAACCCCGGGTTATATATGGCATCCCTGTGCACTATGATAAGATGCTAACACTATATTCAAATAGCTAATTTATGTAAAACGTTATGTAAAATGTTAGTAATGTAAAATTGCTATGACAAACAACTAAATTACGAGAAAAGCAAACTTGTCTACTCTTAGCTCTCTCCACATGGGCGAGTAACCAGACGGAAAAAAGAAAATGATATCAGGTCAGGGTGGGGAGGTGAATTCTTTATGAGTGGCAATAATAATCTGATAGTGATAAGGATAAACGAAATCAGTGAGAGAATTAAATGAACTAAACATGCTGCTTTTGGAACCCACACGCAGAAATGCAGAAGCCACGTGTAGCCTATTTGGAGCCAGGCTTGGCTTGGCTTGTGGTTGACAATTCATGCTTATATGCTTATTGGCCTGCCATACATACACACATACACACATTCATATAATATATTTACATCTATCTATCTTTCTATCTCTCTATATATGCATGGGTGGGTGCTTCATGCTCAGGGTAATGTGAAGCAATGACGTGCTTGCATGTTTTCTTGCTTGCAGCTGCCACCCCTGGCTAGCCCAGTGTGAAAAAGGGAGCAGTTCATCATAAGCCTCCCCTGCCAATTCAAAGCCTCTCCATTCAGTGCCTCCTTGTGGCCACCCATGGAAACTGGGCAACTTGTGGTCCCAGGCTAAACAGGATTTCAGAGCAGCAAGAGGCCCCAGAGGTATGGAGTTATGGCCCACCAGCATGTGGACATACCCTGGCTCCATACCAACTCTTGCCCCTTACCCCCCCTGGGTGGCTTCGGGAGGAAACTCACTGGCAGCATCTCTAGTAAATGGAAATACTTGCTTGCAGCAAGTGAGCTGGGCTGACAGGATGGGAGGAAGAGTTATTTGTCCTGCCTGCGCCCTAAAAGG